GTCGGTTTTTTAGCACACATCAAAGAAACATACGTGTGCGTTCACACTCAGTTTAGAAGGATAGCGTGAGGATTTGTTGCATTTGCAAGACAAGTTCGGATTTATTGAGTTTTATTCATTTCATTGATTTATGTGTAAGATGGAGTGATCAAATAAACAATGTTTATAATTAATAGATTTGTATGAAGAAAACCCTATATTATGGGATCAAAAAATAAGTTTTTATATTCAAAAACAAAAAAAAGAAGATGCATGGGAGTCGACTGAAATCTTGATATAGATTCAGCAGTTGTGAAGAAGAAAATGAGCAGCTTACTTTTGTCTTTTAGGGCTCAAAGAAGCAAATGTAGTCCGTGGGTACAGGAAAAGGTATTGTTTATTTACAGTAAGTACAGGGTGTCCCAATTCGGACACTTTTATAGGTTATTTGGGTTGTTATGGAAGATAAAGCATTGCGGTTTTAACGAACCTTTGCTACTTTTTCGTCAAACTTTTAATGCTGCAAACAAAAATGGGCTACCAAGGTTTTTGAGATGCCGGTTAAAAAATTAGTGTATAAATATATAAAAGTAGTACATCATTAAAGCGGTACTAAAAAAAACCAATTTCTTGGGACAAAAAATACAGAGTGTTCCCTGTGGCCAGAAATCTTAATGTTATCAGTAAACGTTTCTTAACAGGTATGGCTTTTCTTAAGACTGTGTCGTTTTTCTTTATTACGGGACCTATATCATTTAAAAGGCGTTCAGAGTCTTCTAGTGACATACGTGTAAAATTTTGAAATTGTCCAGTGTTAGGTTCTAACGCCTAATCTACTAATGAATCGAACTTCATTTGTAGGGTTCTCCTTTTAAATAAATGCGTCGTCCACCATTGCCTATTTTTCCTTTGTTTTTTCTTTTTTAATGAACTAATAACAACAAACGCGGCTCTAACCATAAGCAGCTCCTCAGATATTTTTCACGAATGGATGGAGCGCGTTGAGCACGCATACAAACGCGGAGATTTCTAATTTCAACAAATGTTTTGAGCGCGAATGGTTTGAGTACGCACGCATATGCGTGGCTTCTCACCGCATGCGTGTGCTAGACTGTACTCGCCTTAAGACGTTTATTATAAATAGATTTGTGTGAGATGATTCCATTTGGGATCATAGCAATGTTTTCTGCTTTAGCGGCGAAGGAAACTACTTACGTCGAATTGGCGAAATACCTTCCTACTAGATGTCGCTGCATTAATTTATTTGACAATTCTATTAGTAAACGTTAGTCACATTGCAATATAAAACGATCATTAATTCAATGTAAATTTTAAATCATTCTAAGGTAAGTAATTAAACCAGTTATTGAACTAAAAAAATTATTTTGCTTCTTACATTGTTTTTATTTGATAATTTGCATTATAGTTTGCTCATATTTACAAGATTGTTTATGTAAACATTATAAATATCAATGAATCCAAATGGAATCATTGGGCCATTGTGGAGGTCTCGAAATGGCATCATTGGGAAGTCGTGTGAATTTTGTTTCTGTCAATAAATTACAAAGGTACAATATATTTTTTATTTCACATAGGTAGATCGTGGGTTCAAAACTACCAAAGCCAAACATTCTTTGGAGTCTTTGGAAGAAAATATTGAAGAAACTTAAATAGAAAAATGATTGTAAAATATTGTTGAAAATAGCTTGAACACCCAAGTTATAGAGAATATGGAAAAAAACTGTTGAAGTAATTACAAAAGAGCCACAGACAAGTCATGCCAAGAAAAAAAAGCATACAAAAACCAACTTGGACAGACAATTTAATTGATGTAAACAGCGAATACAGTGGTGATTTTTTGGTTGATGAAAATATGTATACGCCTTTCCAATATTTTAAAATGTTTTGTGACAATGATTGTTTGGGAAAGTATGTATTTTTACAATTAATATGTTTTCTGTTACGGTACTGTAATGTGACCTAATTTATTGCTGTATTCTAAAGACCTTTTTAAAATATATTATTTCCTGTTATTTCGTAAAACTTAAACTGGCTATCTCATTTATCATGTTTGAAGTACAGAGAATTTAACTTCTCTTTTGTATGGGTCAAAAATATACACACAAGTGTAAAGTGTCGTATTACTATCTCCATTCAAAATCGTCCGACAATAGAAGGATTTATTGTTACACCCTCTCGGTCCACCACTTAGAGGGTTTCTTAGCTCTGACCATCTCAACGTACTTTACTTCTTCGTAAGACAGTGAACTACACGCTCCATAGACCGGTCTCGTGTTATTAGCCTCGGCGTCTCAGGCCGTGGCGTCGTGATGCCCAGCAACCAACTCTTCAGCCTGTTACGAATTCATCAATAGAACCAAAGGGTAAGTCTATGTTCTTTGTACAAACAACGATAATGAGTAGGACCAGTTAATTTCATAATTTATTCACAATTTATAGTTGCTATTTTCGCTAATTTTATGTACAAACAAATATTGCATTTTTTCTTACTTTTTCATACAGTTTACAAATTATTTTTATTTATTCTAAAATCAAGGTTTTGTTGCGGTTCGTGTTTTATATTTTTTTATTAATTGCCACAATATTATAAATATCTCGTTAAAATAATTTATTTTCACTACCCAATACATCGCTGATTATTCCCAAACTAAATACAAACTTTCTATTTTGTAATGATATACAGAGATCTATCTTGTATTTTCTAAAATTTATTTGCATACTATTTACAAAATGCATATTTTGTATAGTGCCACTATGGTTAAACTAAACAATTACAAACGATACAATAAATATATGTTGTAAATTGAGCTGATATTCTAAACTTTTAACCTAAGAATAAATTACGTCGTATACAGCGCGAGGAAGGTATTCAGCAATGAACAATGATATTATAAAAAATTTTGCTGAGCAGACAAACTTGTATTCTGTGCAAAAAGACAGTAAATATATTGATACAAATGCAGCAGAGATAGAGCAGTTCCTAGGCACGATAGCTAATATCATGTCACCTAATCGTTTTAATAAACTGCAAGCATATTTTTACGTCAACAATAATTTGAAAGTCTCGTTTAGCAACAATGACAAATTATATAGAGTAAAATCTTATATTGAAAAGTCCGGCAAAATATGAATAAGATAGAACCTGAGGAATTCAACAGCATCAATGAGTTTATTATACCATTCAAAGGACATAGTAATGTAAAGCAATATATAAAAAATAAAGTTCATAAATGGGGCATAAAAGTTTTGGCAAAAGCAGGACGCAGCGGCATACCATAGGGTTTTAAGATATATGTGGGGAAAGGAACAGTCCAAGATGAATCAGGTCTTGTCTTGGAATTAGTGGGAAAATAGTACTGAAGTTGTTTAGCAATCTACCAAACCACATGAATTTCAAGATTTTCACGGTTAATTGGTTCACATCTTATAATATATTTATTAGTCTGAAAGAACCGGGCTTCCCTGCTGCAGAGACTGTAAGAAGTGGACAGCTGGCAGGTTGTCTTTTTTCAGTAGACAAAGTTCTAATGGCAAAAGGTCGTGGATCCTCTGATGTAACAATAGACAGAAAAAAAAATATAACTGCTCTTAAATGGTATGACAATTTGTGCGTCATATTATTATCGAACTATATAGGAAAATATCCTCTTGATAAAGTGAAGAGATGGTGCAACAAGAGCAAAACCTATGTAGAAATCGAACGGCCAGCAATTGTCAAAGAATATAATATTTCGATGGAGGGGTGTGGATTTGCATGCCATGCTTGTGGAACTATATAGAGTCAAAATCAAACCAAAAGATTCTATTTGAGAATAATATTTAATCTTATTGATATATGTATTTTCAATTCTTTGTTGCTGTACCGAAGACACTGCAAACAAAAACAAGTTAAACACATCAACCTTCCCCAATTCACATCTCAAGTTGGGCATGTGTTATTGAAAACTGGTAGGTCCGATACGTGAACACGAGGAGGTCCTTCTCAAGATAATACGGCAAATAAGAGACTACTTGCATCCTGCCACACTGCAATATGTTCGATTTGATGGCGTAGGACACTGGCCACATGATCAAAATCGCACAAGGTGCAAATTATGTATAAAGTCTTACTCTAGAATAAAGTGTTTTAAGTGTTTTTTTTACGTTTAAACAATATTAAAAATTGTTTTTATAGTTTCAATGTTAACATATTATGGTCAATTTTTTACTAGACCATTATATCAAGTGTTATAAATGGATAATTCAGGTACAACCATCGCCAGATGATTCCAAATGGGATCAATTTTTTTGAGTTTGAAGACTCTAGGATCCAAAATTCTTACAAAAGTTATCAACAATTATTTTTTCTTGTATCGTTTCCTATAACATACATTTTTTTTCAACAAAAGTTATTGAAAAAAAAATAATTTGGGCTGAAAAGGGTTAAGGAAGCTGTACAAATCTTGTCTACTATACATCTAGATTTTCTGTCAGAGCTTCCATGAGATGCTCCCGCAACTATTTTAATATTGTCCATAAAAACTAATGTCATGAATAGAGCAAGTTCTCCTCTAGAAATTTTCTTTAAAACTCAGTTGCTTAGGACTGAAGATGAGGATATAAGGATTCGAGTGGCTTTTAAATTTAATTCTAAATTTAAATCAAAAAAATATTAAATTCGATCTTTTGGATCTTTTGATTAAATATGGTATAAATTTTATTTTAAATAATGGTTTAATCATTTTTAGTTCATACATTTTGTTTAAAACATTCCTTACTTAGTAATTTAAGTATAATTAAGTATGGAAGGTGATAGAATTGTAATGGAATCAAAGTGCCGGTAAAAATGGGGATACAGTATTAAAAAAGAGGACACTGAACTATATTTCAAACAATAGAACTATTAGATATACTTTAAATATCAATATCATAAATAAAACTCTTCTATTGTTCCAATTATGCAGTTTTTCACAATTTTATTTATCAAAATAAAGATTTTATAGGGTATCACAACAACTTACCATTAATATTATCATTATTCACTGTTAATACAAAACATTTCCGATGTTTATAAACAAACAAACAAGAATAAACTGTATACTACTTTAAATTTATAAATTAAATAACGTTTCGTAATTGGAACAATCGCAAATTATGTTCACGGTTGGTGGTCAGTTACGGTGGAACAGGTTTTGCGCGTGCGTCATTGTATCGACCTGTTTTGACAGTAATATTGAGACGAATGTACAGTTGCAGATTTCTTGTGATAGATTAAAATACCAGGGAAATAAAAAAATCGATTAAACAAAAGAATAGCTCTGATTTTATTTAGACTATAAAGGGTTAAATAGACATGAACTCTATCATTTCCTTATAAAATAACACTTTTTTTACGTACTTTCTGAAGATAAATTTCGGGTCTACGTAGTATACGAGGACTGTCATATTATTCTGTCTTATACTGGATTCTATGTATTCCAAAAGAAACTCAGTATGTCGGTGTTTAATAAGAAATAAAAAATACCATTATGTACTATATGATACCACCTTTTGCTGTCTTCTCCTAAATTAAACAACTACGCCTTGCTAGTAACTTAAAATTATCTGTTATCTGTTGCTATAAAGAAATTTTTTGTTACGAATTTTGTCAATGAGAAAATATTGAAATTACTTTTAGTTAAGGAGCAAGAGGGGATTGAGCATTTATTTTTATCTTGTCTTGGTACCTTGAAGTTTTTTGTATCTCCTAAACTATTGGAAATATTTATTTTACCAAAATGCAAATTGTCCCTTTTAACAAAATAAACAAAATGGCGTTTGGTAAATCTTAATCCGGTTGTTAGAACCGGAGATGTCACAAGTTTCAAGAAAAACAATTGCAAAATAGGCAATATATGGTTGAACGAAAGGCGGCCTAGACCTACAATAATATTTTGTAATACATTTATTGTACAATTAGATTGAACTAACCCATTATAACGAAACGTTAAATTATATTCTACAATAATATGAACTACTAATAAATCAAATAATGGGCTGCACCAGGGAGACCCTCTCTACTGTATACTGTTTAATCTGGCTCTGGAAAAAGTAATACGTATGTCACAAATCAATATTGTTGAGAGAACAGAAAATGCTGTACAAGAGGCGTATATAGCATTAAAAGAATTGGCTACAAAAATGGGTTTAATAATAAACACCAACAAAACGAAGTATATAAAAATAAGCACGCAATCACAAATCCTACGACTACTCATTATAGAAAACGAAGCAATAAACGAATTTGTATACCTGGGAGCGCTCCTTAACAAACACTGAAAATAATACTACCGCAGAGATAAACCGTAGAATTTAAGCGGCCAACAGATGTTATGTTGGGCCAAATCTCCTTAAATCCACAATTATATCGAGAAATACAAAAATAAAACTCTACAAAACAATAATACGCCCAGTCCTAACATATGGTTCAGAGACCTGGACTCGTAAGAAAAAATAATGAAAACATGTTAGGATGTTTCGAAAGAAAAGTACTAAGGCGAATTTATAGAGCAGTGAATGACAATGGAGTGTGGAGAAGACAATACAATTTCACACTTGGAATCGAATATACCAGGAGCCTGATATCGTAAAACATATTAAGATAGGACGTCTGAGCTGGATAGGATGTAATGCGGATGGAACAAAATAACCCAGCTAAAAAACCACTCCTTGATAGACCCATTGGTCAGTGAAGAGGAAGACCGAGAACAAGGTTCCTTGATAACATCGATGAAGACATGAGAAATATGGGAATACGTGCTTGTCGGAGAAAGGCGATCGATAGGGACGACTACAGAGAAATTCTTGAGGAGACTGGGTCGCACGTTATCTTGAATATTATCCCCAAACGATTAATTATATCGCCCAATTTGTAATATTGTGCAATAATATTATTAAGTTTTTTATGAGAGAAAAATGGATAAACTTTTGATGACTGTATCGGTTTTAATTAAGAGTTGAATCTTATCGTTGAATAAATGTTCTAATTTGTTGTTAAGTATATTAAATTTAATTTAATGAAAGTAATTAACCTTATCCTGAACAACTGGCATGAAAGTGGTGAGATTAATATATCATAAAGTTTCGAGTAGAGAGTCATACGTTATCTTCAGCTTACAGTTGATATAGTTTAGCTTATTATAGTGGCTACAAATCTCTTTCTTTAAAGGTTTAATCTAAACATATATTGTTGATATGTTGGGAGAAACATAATTATTTTAAGTCTTGATTTTACACAATGTTGGAAAAGCCTTATCTAAACATCTAGAGATCAACTATATATCCAATTTAACATTGTGTGGCTCCGCAATGTGGCTAATCGTAATAAGTGTAGAGAAAAATTGACCAAACTGTCATCTATAAGCTTAGAAATGGATAATTCCTGGGAATTAGATGTATACCATGAAAGTAAAAAAAACTTGAACATAAAAGTAATACACTTAAGTCGTATATTCAATTAAAATTTAAGTTAAACATCCAAATGGACAATAAAATTGATTGGTACGTTAGGTTAAATTTTGACTGTTATATGCAAAGATGTAGTTTAGATTACTTACTTTTTTAGTACTTGCGTACATAATGGCAAAACCAAACAGAGGTTGGTATTACATTGATAAAACCATACATGAAAGTAATAAATTATACGACAGTATGTCGATGACATTGTATGACTAACTGGCAACATTAGTCCTCTCTAAAAAACTAGTCGAACTACTCGAAAAAATAATTTTTACATCTGAACTGTCGGAATGGAAAAAGCCAACTAACCTGTAGTGCCAAGTAATAATTGACTATTGTTACGTAAAAAATTAGTCATATTAAAAAATCCTGTAAATATGTTATTTATTTACTCATATGTTGTAGATTCGACGAAACCCTTCGATCAGCTGGCAGAAATATACCTGAAAGGGTCGTTCGAAGCTTCCAGAAACCGGTCGAACGATGATTCAGCCGATTTACTTTCTGGTATAATCGGAAGGATTTCCCAGACCCTTCTAGATAACGGTGTTTGGATATAAATACAGGATTTTTATTGGAGACCAGTTTCTGGCGATATTTCGAAAGTTTCCGACGACATCGCATCATTAGAGAACAAAGTTTCTGACGATATTTCGAAAGTTTCTTTTGATGTAGCCAAAGTTTCTGGTGACATCGCTTCTTAAGAAGACAAAGTTTCTAACGAGATTTCTTTTCTAGAAAGCAAAGTTTCTGCTAACGTCTCCTTGAAAATCTCTAAAGTCATTTCTGAGATGTTTGCCCTCGAAAATAGAGTGTCTTCGTTAAAAACCCAAGTTGCTGCCGATATGTTGGCCTTCGAAGAAAAGATATGAAAGTGATTAAAAAGAAGATGGAGGAAACAGGAAAAGCAGAGAGAGGAAAGAATCCAATTACAGTAGAGACAAAAGAAGACAAGAAGAAATGTAAGTTGGAAACACGGCCGAAATTTGAAGGAAGTGGAGGTTCTGTTCATGTCAAAGTCACAACTTTCGACGGAAAATCGTCATGGTACAACTACATGAAACAGTCCGAATCAGCTGCAAGAGCGAATGGATGGTCTGAAAAAGAAAAGGCTGTAAACCTGAATATCGCTATTTGAGTAGATGCCTTAGATGTGTTTCAGACCATAGCCGTAGAGGAGATGGATGATTTCCAACAACTCAAGAAGAGGTTAAATATGCGATATGGCCACGAACATTTGAAGCATGTATATCAGTCGCAGCTTAAAAATCGAAGATAAAAGAAAGATGAGGCTCTTCAAGAATATAAGGTAGATATTGCCAGATTAGTACAATATGCTTATCCAACAGCTCCCGAAGACATGATGCAAAAGTTGGCCGTTCAACCGTTTATTGATGGTCTTCGTGATCATGAAATGCAGAGAACACTGCGATTAGCTCGTCACAAAACGCTGGTTGGTGTCTTATCTGCCGCCCTCGAATACGAGTCTGCTACGCAGGCCTCTGGCGGGTACAGTAAAGTTAGGACTGTAAAAGAAAAACGAGATGAAGATGAACTTGACCAGCTCGTTAATATGATGAAAAGCATGACACACAAGAAAACGAAGACTATAAGACCGAAGACAAAACCAGAACGGCTTGGCCTTAGGGGGCTGCCTCGACCCAGAACTTTTCCAAAGACACTCTCATACTAATAGCTTCTTTGAAATGTCGTACGGTACTCTACAACGGTGTAGAGACGTTGATAAAGACGTGTATCTGTGCTTTGTAGATTTTAGAAAAGCATTTGACAATGTCAATCATGAACAATTGATAGGTATTCTGCGAAAGACAGGTATTGACGACAAGGACATTCGAATTGTGGCAAACCTATACTGGGGTCAAACAGCAAGAGCAAAAATTGGCAACGAACTCACTGAAAGCGTGCAGATCAAAAGGGGTGTCCGTCAGGGGTGTATATTATCCCCACTCCTATTCAATATGTATTCCGAGGAAATATTTAACAAATGTATGGAAAATGCAAATGAGGGCATTAAAATAAACGGCGAGTTAACGAACAATATAAGATACGCCGACGACACGGTGATCCTTGCCAGTACCATAGACGAATTACAACAAGTAATGGAAAGACTTTATTCAATTAGTGAGGAATACGGCCTGAGCCTCAACTTCAAGAAGACAAAGTGGATGCTGATAAGCAAAAAGCAACAACCTGCTCGACAATTACGGATAAGTAACATATTAATTGACCATGTAGAATCTTATGTGTACCTTGGCACCAACGTAAATGCAAAATGGGAACAGACCATAGAAATTAAGGCGAGAATAGAACGAGCTAGAGCAGCATTTAGCAATATGAAAAAGCTCCTCAAAAGCAAGGATTTGTCTCTTCCCCTAAAACTACGTATAGTTAAATGCTACATTTTTCCGATCTTGCTGTATGGCGTGGAGGCCTGGACGCTGACGGAGACGCTAACGAGAAAACTAGAAGCATTCGAAATGTGGGTGTACCGACGCATTCTTCGTATATCCTGGACCGAACATGTCACCAACATAGAGGTACTCCAGAGAATCGGAAAGGAGAAAGAAATCGTGAAT